AGGTCTTACGAAATTCCCACGAGAAGTGACAGTCGTGGGAGTTGCTTGAGTCATGGTTCACGGGCCCCTGGTCCCTAAACAGGTGCAACAACAGTCTCAAATCATCTACAAGGCTGAGGCTCATTTTGGCCAATACAGTGCGTCACTAGGGGAACAGCGTCAGGGGGCTAGATGGCTGAGCAATTATCATGCCCAAGTCCACCATGTGTGATGAAAGTTCACCAGGTCACGGCCTGCACGTTGGCTATGAAGCAATGAGTGCACAAGTGGGCAATTATCGTCGATGCAGGGGAATCGTTTATTGTCGTAAGTATGCAGTAGCCTAATTACTGTATCCTGTAAATATTGCAACTCCCTGTGTATGAATTACCCGTTTCTGCTATTGCCTCTGATGATGGATCCGCGATGGATTTCGAAACGTTGGGCGAATACAATTCTTTTCCCAGCGATCATATATACCGCTTCTTAGAACCCTACCGCATCCAAGCCCACCTTCAGTTGTCTTCTTTCTTTCTCGAACTTGCCACAAATCTGATTCCCTACCCTTCTTACCCACCGCCATCTACCTATTTCCTCTAGCATTTACGAGCGTTTCTCTTTCTGTTTTCTCCATGTAGATATATGCCACATGAATCCCATCACCACGGTGCCCTACGGCTGCCGAGCTATGGTGGAGCGGTGGTACTTCGATTTAAAGGATCGTGTATGCCGCAGTTATGTCACCTGCCCCGCCTACGGCAACAACTTCCCCGATGAGGATACCTGCATTTCCGCCTGTAAACCATCTCACATTATGGGTGAGTATGGCACTCCTTGCTTGCAGTCAACTGCACTACATATTGTCGCTTCTAAATATGTCATATAAGATTAGTAACCTGACTTGAAGAGGGTAAGACGTTCTCTGGGACCAGGAGTGTATTTGTCCGACGTTTCGAACTCTCCCGGCGAGCTCATTGTCAAGGAATACACAAACTGTACAGCTCACTGTGTATTTAACTCGGTTCTACCGGGAGTGACCTCTACCCTTGACTTCTGCTCTCGATCTGCTCGCGCAACGCGAGGTAGGCATCAGGAAGCTCGACATGCCTGTTAATTGAGCCCGCGCGTAAATGCCAAGCTTCCTGCAGCAGGCTCGATCTGCTCGCGCAACGCGAGGTAGGCCTCAGGAAGCTCGACATGACTGTTAATTGAGCCCGCGCGTAAATGCCAAGCTTCCTGCAGCAGGCGTGAAGTTTGGTCGTCTGACCGACCCAATATTCGTACGCGTTCGAAGTGGAAGCTGTGCCCTTGCGGGAATGCGTGGGCGGCCACCAGGGAAAGCTTGTCGTTCCGTTACACGGCGAGTTCATACTGGTACATTCTCGTGAGGACCCGTTTGCCGGTTTCACCAACATAATTGGCTTGACCA